AGCCTGCTTCTCCCTCTCCCACTCCCCCTGCTTGTGTTCCTGCTCTCGCTATCTCTCTCTCTCTCTGTCAAATAAATAAATAAAATCTTAAAAAAAAAAAAAGTGGTAATGTGCTTCTATCAGAGATTTCAAGGTAAACACAAAAAAAATCATAGCTGCATTTCATGTTCTACCCCTTACCAATTTGCCCTTCTATAACCTTGATTGATCCAAATTATTTTACAATTTAAATATTTTTGTTTGAAGCACTGGCACCAACACCAACATTTTAAATTTTAATTCCTGCTACTTTAGAGAACCTGTCTTAATCTCTTAACTAAATTTAAAACTTCACATTATACATGTGGCAAAGGGTGAATCTGATGTCTTGGCTTAAAATGTCATAAAAACATGTTAAAGTACCTTTTAATAGGGACACTTTAGCAAGAGGTTCATTTAGGTCTTGCTCATCCATTTGGGCGTCTGCAGGGGGCAAAAAAGATAATTACAAACAGTAGTTAGCTCCATCCTCAAGCTATCACCATCAAAATAAACAACTGAAACTTATACAGCTATCGTACCTGGATAGTTGAAAGTAATTTTAACAATATAGCCAAGATTCAAGGGAGTTAACTTAGAAAATGGAGACTGCTTCCCCCCCCCAAACACAAACTTTTAAATCTCCACCCACATTAACCTGTCTATCTAAACTGCTCAGCCAGTAACAGTAACATCCGTAAGATTTGCAAATATTCGGTTACAACTCACCTGTAGTGTCGTCACTACTTTTTTCCTTGCTTGGACTCAGAGTATCTGACAAATCAGATTCTTTTGCTCTTGCCTGATTTGCTACCAAGAAAAAAATGAAAGTAGAATCTCATTACAACTATATCAATAAAACTGCTTTAGGCTTTGAGTGCTCTAAATCTACTGATATGCAAAATACTTTTAAAATTAACTGAGGTCACTGAGTCTCTTACTTCTTCACCACTCTAGTCCAAAATGGAATGCTGGTTATTACACGTGGCTCATATTAAATTATAATGTGGATCATGTCTGCTGTGCAGAGGGCTGGGGCTTTTGTCAAGGCTGTCCATTGGCCAACCAGAAACAAAAATGAAGCAAGCTTTGCTAAAGTATTCAGAGAACTGCAACAAATATAGCAAAATTCCAAGACAATGTGGACACTGTATGAAGATGATGCAAGGAAATGGCTCTCTTATATAAAAACACTAGCTAGGTTGCCTTAGCAATAGTTATACTTAGTAATATTTATATTTATATAAAACTCTAAAATCACAACTGTTATAAAAATGACATTTAAAACAAGAAAATTACAACCTTTTTTAACTTAAAAAAATATAACTGTACCTGAACCACATTGAGAAAGACTCAAAAAGTTTTGGGATTATTTGCAAGTGGTGCACTGCCTAGCCAATGAAGACATCCTAGGCCTTGTTTTCAACAAGTTGCTCTCAAATATCCTAACTATTAGCCCAACAATTTATTAAAGATGACTGACAATTAATTAGGCTGTTGATCCTTATCTACAATTGCACACCTGTGTGTATTATGGCATGCATTAGAATAGCGTTTACAGAGATGGTCATTTCTCTGACCAAAATCCTACAGCATCTCCCCATTCTCCACAAGGCTCAGCCAAACTTTACATCCCAGGATTTAGCTATAATTTGGTCCCTGAATTAATTCACACATGAGCTCCGTTTCAGTCAGGCTAGCCTCTTTACAGGGCTGAGAAATGCTGGCTCACTATGATCTCCAATTCTTTGCTTGAGTTGATATTTCACTAAACTCAATGACCATTCTCTCTACTTGACCTATTCAATCTGTGAGATACAGTTTAAGCCCCTTCACCTCTAAGGGGGTCTTCATTTCTCCAGCATGCTGCTCCTTTTTATTGTATCTTCTCTGTGTCCTATGATTTTGTAATTAATCATGTTCTATTTTATATCATTCTATGTGTATTTATGTATCTTATTTCTTTAGATTATAAATTCACTGAGTATATGATTATTTTTTATAATTATGGCTGCTGTTTGTGTAACACACATCAAAAATTTAAATATGCATATCCACTTCTAGTACTTTTCCAAAGGAAAAACAGACTACATATAGTATATATAAGGATGTTCACTGCAGCATTGTTCATTATGGAATGGAAAATACTCGAGATATATTTCTTACTATTGAGTAAAAATAAAGGTTGTTAAAGAACAGTATGTATAACATGATCCCATTTAGACTGAAAATAGGTATATATTTAGCTATGAATTTTCAGCTGTGCATATTTACTCAAGTCTGGAAGGATCCACAACAGAGATACCAATTGTCATTTCTGGAGGTGGGGACATGGCAGATATTTACTAACTTCATATTGTCATACATTTTTGAAAATTGTTAATATATATTGTTTTATAACCAACTAAATCAAGAGATATTTTCCATTTTGAAAGTAATCAGAAACATATCTAAAACCATTAATTAATATTAAAATATATTTAATACAATATTAAAATATAACTTCTTATGGCTATTTCATTAAGAACATCCCTAGAATTTGAAGTAGGTGATAGATTACAAGAAGCCTTTTGCTTCTTTTTTTCACTGCCATTTCTAGTCAAAGGCCAACTGCTGAGAGACACAGAGCTTAGATTAGAAGTGAAGTCACTGACCATGGAGACCCATGGGAATCCAATCTGTGACCTCTGGCGCATTCAGTGTGCTATAATCAGACATTTCTGAATGTTCTAGTTTTAATCACAAAGTTACAGTCTCAAACAAGCCAGGCTAATACATCTAATCTATACATAGATGGAAAAGGAACCATTCTCAGAGAATAAAAAAATGACTCTCTTCTGATTTTAATATTCTTGGCAATTTTATCAAGATATTGAGGTAAACCAAGAAGAATATGTTCTCAAAAGGATTCTTCTGGCTTAGGAGGAACTTATATTTTATATTTAGAGTATTAGCCAGAAAGGTAAAATTAAAGGTGGGACCAAATCTTCCATTAAGATCTTACTAGAATATAAGTACCATGAGGGCAGGGATTTTTGTCTGTTTTGTTGACTGCTATATCCTCATTGCAGAGAACAGTGTACAGTACATAGTACATAGTAGGTGCTCCAAAAAGAGATGTTTGAAGGCAAGAATCTATTTTGAATAAGAAGACAAGTCAAATCATGGCCTATCATTGTTATATCCTGAAATTATAACTGTTATATGGAGGCAAACCAAATCTATTCAAGAATGAAACACAGGAGGGGCGCCTGGGTGGCTCAGTCGTTAAGCGTCTGCCTTCGGCTCAGGTCATGATCCCAGGATCCTGGGATCGAGTCCCACATCGGGCTCCCTCCTCAGGGGGAAGCCTGCTTCTCCCTCTCCCACTCCCGCTGCTTGTGTTCCCGCTCTCGCTATCTCTGCCTCTGTCAAATAAATAAATAAAATCTTTTAAAAAAAAAAAAAAAGAATGAAACACAGGACACAACAAATGAGAGGTAGAGTATCTCTTCCTTTTCAAAACATCCATTCTTTAGCTATGAAGTGGCACCCAACTTTCTAGTATTAAAAAGTCCTTGGGGCGCCTGGGTGGCTCAGTCGTTAAGCGTTTGCCTTCGGCTCAGGTCATGATCCCAGGGTCCTGGGATAGAGCCCAGCATCGGGCTCCCTGCTATGCAGGAAGCCTGCTTCTCCCTCTCCCACTCTCCCTGCTTGTGTTCCCTCTCTCGCTGTGTCTCTATCAAATAAATAAAATCTTAAAAAAAAAATTAAAAAAAATCCTTACTGGTTGATTTTCTATGCAGTACTTAATCATTAAGATACATACCAATAATATATAGAAGGAAACAGAAGAATAGCTACCAACATCAATACCAAAACTGTTCCCAAACTGGAAAGTCTAAAACAACGTGAGTATTTTCACTGTATCTCTGAGAACACATAATGATGGATTGGCAAAACAAACATACTGGCCACAGACCACTTCCTACACCAATGGAACCATTAGTTGGAAAGAAAGCAAGAAGGGAAATGAGAATTAACATTTGTCAAATACCAGAATAATGCTTCTTGCTTTATAAGCAACATTTCATTAAATTCCCAGGAATTCCCAAATTCCCAAATTCCCAGGAAACTGAAGTTTAAACTGAAGTTTAAACTGAAGTTTAAAGAGTAAGTTGCCTGAGGGCATATAGCTAGTTAGTTGTGGAACCTGGATTTGAAACCATCTGTTTTACCTATTAGTATTCTTTCTACTTCTACCCTAAGGCCTCAGTAAACATCCAATGACTGCTAGTTGAGTGAGGGTTTAAACAGAAAGCACATGCAACCTATGATTACATTTTGCATTAGGTGAAATATCTGAAATACTAAGACTTATAAGACCTGGTAATTGGCTATCTCTAGCAACTGTTATTTTCAATACAGAAAAGAAATTCTATCAAAAACATCACCCATGAAAGGCTTTTAAAAATAAAACAACTTAGACAAATCCAAAAGAAATACTTTATAGCCAGATACAAAGCATTTAAAATGTAACTTATCTCAGCCATCTAGTTTGTTACAAGGATTAGTGTACCTCTGCATGCTAACTTTGAGAAATGCTTATAAAAAATGCTGACTGCTGACAGAAAAATCTCTGGGTATATAAAACTTGGATCTGTATTATCATTCTTAAAGGATGTATTTTATTCACTTGCATGGACTTACTTGCTATTATTTATTTAATAAATGCCCTCATTACTCGACATTTATGTTTTCCTCTTTTTGCTTTTAAAACATTGAAGCAAATACCCTTGCATATTTGTCCAATTTGTTTCTTAATATAAAAACCCAGAAGTGGAATTGCTGGATCAAAATGCGTGCTCTTTAAAGCTTTTAACACATATTTTATATCCAGGTTTCAGAAGCAAATCAGTAAAGATGGCACAAATCTTTTTCAATAATGACATCACATAATTTCAAGCGAATATATTCTAATTCAGAATGCATTAAATAGAAGCACTAAAGTAGCAAGATATTTTTCTTTAATTAAAGGACTGATTTTTTTTCTAAGGCTCTACTTCCACCTCAGTGTGCTGGCTATTCAACTAATCTGCATAGGCATTTGGGTGGTGAAGTAAAAGCTATGTTAAAATCTGTTCTCATCTCACTTTAATTAGATGAAATAAATTGCCACATGTACTAAAAATAGTTCACTGCTCTGAAACCCAATGCCTGTTTGCCAGAACAATATTAGTGATGCATATTCTATGCATTCTTTCCCCAAATATGGCATCTGCCATGCACATAATTCAGAATGGAAGCCACCAGATACTTGAAATAACATTCTCCTTTTAAATATTGTTAAAAGCCAAAATGGATCCAGTTAGTTTCATAAAACAGAATGTACTGAAATGGAGTATTCCAAACTTTTATCACTCATTGTTTTAACTGACCAAAAAGATTGTGAATCTACTTATAAACTTTATGCTAGTAGGTTCTGATGAAAGTCCTAAAATTATAATGAGCATATCATACCAAATTTATTTGTCCAATTTCCCTAATGCATAAGAGTGACTTGACAATATAATGCTTTAAAACACACTTTTCTTCTCTGACAATTGTAACAGAAGAGAACTAATAGAATAAACTATTTCAGGCAATTTTAAGACTACCCATTATAAATGGAAGAAGACGCTACATAATTACTTTTGTTTAAATCAAATTGATATGCCAAAAATTAAGATAATATTAAATTTCATAAGGAACGTTAAAGGTAGGAAAATCACAGAAATAGAACGGCAAGCATTTTTCACCTGTTGTTTCAAAAAAGATTTATGTTGTGTTTAATTAAAATTTTTTATCAAATATAACAAATACCAAATATCAAAGCTGAAAATAATGCTAGAAGTGAGACAGATCAGAACAAATCTTTTAAAACCTAACAAAACATATTTCAAGCACTTTTAAGAAAAAATACATATATATACCCATTTAAAAAGAAACTTTCTAATTAAGATATCCTTCTTAAGACAGAACTCCAACTATTTTATATTAATACTGTTACTGGATTGCCATCTGGTGAGCTATAAGAAACAAATTGATGGTTAAAATACTATGACCTTGGAAATGTACACTAACCTCCATTATCCAAAAGAGTGGTCAAAACCCACAGAAAACCAACAGAAAACGAACCTTTTGAAAGCTTTGTTTCTTCTACCACTTTGGTTAGATGCCCCTCGACGATCAGCTTCTCTGCCAAAGAAAACAAATGTTACTATCCAAGCCCAAACCGAGTAGCATTTCCCTGAGCGGGGCAGTGTAACACATTCCATGACCAAATTTAAAGATGATAATATTACTCCCATGACTAGGCTTGTACAAAAACTTGAAGCTGGAAGGAGAACTAAGAAAACTCAAACTATAATAGAGCAATGAGATTAATGCAGAAATCTGGGGGTAGGTGGGCAATTTGCCTTTAATTTTCATTAGTTTTTACCTTATCTAAAAAGCCTAGACCTTTTAAAAAAGGACTCAGAATAAACAAAGAAATCCTCTTTAAATCAAGGATATGAAGTTGAAATAAAGGAATTCTGAAAAAGTATTTATTTAAATAAAGAAGTAATATAAATTATGTTATACCAATAGTTTACTTTTCCCTATTGATACAATTCAGCAGAGATGCATATATGACATGCTTCAGTAAAACGAATCTTTTTTTTTAAGATTTTATTTATTTATTTGACAGAGAGAGAGAGAGACAGGGAGAAAGGCAACACAAGCAGGGGGAGTGGGAGAGGGAGAAGCAGGCTTCCAGCCAAGCAGGGAGCCCGATGCAGGGTTTCGATCTCAGGACCCTGGGATCATGACCTGAGCCGAAGGCAGACACTTAACGACTGAGCCACCCAGGCATCCTTAAAATGAATCATTTTTAAAGATATTAAAACAAATACTGTTTTGTTTTGTTTTATAGGGGATTCTCTGTAAAGGTATAATGTAGCTTCTTTATAATTCATTTAAATTCAGATCTCCATATTCTATATTTTACTGAGAAGGATATCTGTTCTGTATATCCCCTTATTTAATCCTGTATGTCAGTTGGTCTCCTTGAATTTACACTTTTGCAGTATGTGAAGTCATTTCTCTATTCCTTCACTCTTCAACCCAATGCAGTTTGGTTTATGCTCCCCACTCAACCACCGAAACTGTTCCAAGATCACTATAACCTCCTCCCTGCCAAAGGCCATGGCTCCTTTTCATAATTTTTACTTTGTATAGGCTCTCTGCAGTATGTGGCACTGTTTGCCCCTGTTCCTTAAATCTTTTTTTTTTTAAGTCAAAGTAATAGATTTAGATAATTTTAAAAGGCAGTCCTACAAGATGTATAATGTAAGCTGTCCTTCCCATCTTCTGTCCTACTCTACTCCATTCTTGAAATTCACTTCCCAGAGAAGCAACTTTTCTTTCTTTCTTTTTTTTTAAGCAACAACTTTTAACTTCAAGCCATTTCTTCTGGTATTCATATTTATATTTCTAAGTAAAATACTGCTATTTCTTCACTTTTCCATTTTAGACACTATTTACTGACAATCTCTTATAGATGACTAAAAAAGGACTTAGAGTCCTTTTTTACTATCATCCTCCTAAGAGTTACATTTTGTCCATCTATACTCAGTATGTATAATATGACTATTATTTATATTTGAGTCATATGCTAAAATTATATTTCTCTGCTTGTACCTTCTTATACAATATGTAGTGATTTTGGAGCTTGCAATACCTTGTTTTATTTTGCTAACTTTTTATATATCTATCTCAAACATAGCCCAAGTTGTTTTTTTTTTTCTTTTGCCCAAGTTCTTACAGAACCATAAAAACTCTCAATACTGTCAAACATATCAGGTAATCCATCACATTATATATCCCCGTCTGTCCCTTCCCCCAGCCCTTTAATATTCCTGCTCCAGTCTGGGCTGTATCCAAAATCCCCTACCCCTGGAATCCAAATCTTTCTCATCCTGTTTTATTCCCTTGTTTTAGTGTAACATATCCTCAGTTAATTTCCTGAAAGGGGGCTGACAGAAGGTAAATGCTTTGACTTTGTTCCTCTGAAAATGTTAGTGTTCTACTCTCACATTTGACTGATGGTTTAAATAGATACACAATTCTACAGGAAATAATTTTCCTTCAAAATTTTGAAAGCATTGTTCCACTGTCTTCTAGCTTCAAATGAGAAGGTGAGTCCTGTTCCTCAGTATGCATGGTAGAGACTTCCTGTGTTCAGCAAAGCCTGCTGTGCCTGCCCTTTCTGGGCACCTGGGAGACTGAATATTCCAAACACCCTAGCACTAATGAAGGTCCACATGACTGGTTCTAGCCAGGGCCAAAGCATTTAAGAAAGAGTAGAAGGAGTAGAAGTTTTCTATACTTCCATCTTCCCTCCATTCTAGAAACCATGTGCTGAGATGGCAAAATTCTTTATCATAAGATGGTGAAGCCTCCATGAACTTAGATCCCTGAATAACAACATGGAACAGTGTTGTCTCCTTCACCATGGACATGTAGCATGAGTGCAAAAAAATATTTGTGGAATTAAGCCATTCAGATTTCAGAAGCTTATTTATTGCTATATTATAATTTAGTTTATTATGACTAATAGAGTATGAGATCCTTTGTTTCTCTTTGGCAATTTTCAGAATCGTCTCTTTATCCCTGGTGTTCTTAAATTTCATATACTCAGAACATGGTCTTTTTCTTTTCTTTTTTTGGTGAAATTCACATAACACAAAATAATCATTTTATTTTTTTAAATTTTATTTTATTATGTTATGTTAATCACCATACATTACATCATTAGTTTTTGATGTAGTGTTCCATGATTCATTGTTTGCATATAACACCCAGCGCTCCATTCAATACATGCCCTCTTACAAAATAATCATTTTAAAGAGAACAATTCAGTGGCATTTAGTACATTCACAATGTTATGCAACCACACCCTCCATCCAGTTCCAAAACATTTTTACCACCCCAAAAGGAAACCTCATGCTCATTAAGAATTTACTTCCCATCCTCCCTTCCCAGCCCCAGCTATTACTCGTCTGCTTTCCCTCTGTGAATTCCTATTCTGGATATTTCATATAAATACCATCACACAATATGTGAATTTCTGTGTCTGGCTTAGTGTGTGTGTTCTAAAATATATTGTGTTGAACGTTCAGTGCGTCCTTTCAGTTTAGAAGCTCATTATCTTCAATCCCGGGGAATTACCTTCTATTCTATTTCACTGACAAATTCTTCTCTTTTTCATTCCTCCTCTTTTCCTACTCTCTCCCTTCCCACACCCTGGAAATCTTATTATTCAGATGTTAGAGCTCCAGGACCAATTCCCTAATTTTCTTAAATTTCCCACCCTTTTTTTTCTTAAATAAAACCTCAAGCCAACTCTTGTCTTTTTTGTTATATTTTCTGGAATATTTCTTCTACTTTCTTTTCTAACACCAACTCAAAAAGATATATGCACCCCCATGTGCACTGCAGCATTATTTACAGTAGCCAAGATATGGAAACAACCTAGGTGTCCAGTGATGCATGAATGGATAAAGAAATATATATATTACTCAGCCATAAAAAAAATGAAATCTTGCCTTTTGGGACAACACGGATGGACCCTGAGGATATTATACTAAGTGAAATAAAAAAGTCAGACACAGAAAGACAAATACCATATGATCTCACTTACATGTGGAATTAAAAAAAAACAACAAGCTCATACATACAGAGAACAGATTGGTGGTTGCCAGAGGCAGGAGGCATGGGGGTGAGAGAAATGGGTGAAGGGGATCAAAAGGTTAAAAAAAAAAAAAGACCTTAAGCATAATGCAGAACACAAAAGCCATATGTGAAAGGACAGACAGATTTGACCTCATATAAATTAAAATTTTCTGATCAAACCCACTATCAACACAGGTAAAGGGCCAGTGACAGACATGGAGAAAATATTTAAAAAATAAAGAGCAGATAAAAGGTTATTATTCATTCATTGAACAACTAATTAGGGGGTACCTACTATGTGCCAGATACTCTCCTAGGTGCTAGAAACATTAGAATGAACAAATGACAAAATTCCTGCCCTCCTGGTTCTTACATTCTAATGGGGTGAGGAGGGAGAGATGATAAAGAAGTAAACAAGTAGTATATCAGATGGAGATTATGTAGAAAAATAAAGCACGGAAGAAGGAAAGGGAGCATGTGGATGGCAAAGATGTGAGGCCCTCCAAAAATGAATGAGAAAAAGTCAAACAACACAGCGGAAAAGGGGCAAAGAATAACAACATTGAATTCACAGGCCAAGAAAAGCAAATGTCCAGTAAATGTGAAATTTATGGTCTATCCGCTGAAACAATGCGGTGGCATTATTCGCTCATCAGTTTGGCAAACATTCAATACCAGGAGGGGTGAGTAATCTTGTGTCCTTCTGGTGGGAGTGTGAATTGGTATCATTTTTTTTTAGAGGGCAATTTTGACAGAACTTATCCAAATGTTGAAAGCACATGTCCTCTGACCCACAGCCCCTATTCTGTGTATTACTCAGGAAAGAGACAACTGTACAAAGATTTTCAATGCAGCATTGTCTGTATTTAGGGAGGGAGTGGAATACAAACTTTTTTTTTTTTTAAAAGAAAAAGAACCTTTATTATTATGTTGCTTATGGAGATGCAGTCATTATGCATTAGGTGGGCATATGACCAGGCACTCTGGGTAGCTCTACGTTAAATCAACTTCATGAGGCTTTCGATCATTTTAGGGCCCTTATAGCTCTTACCATTAAATTGCTTTGCATTGTAAATGGAGAAGCTATCACTTTAATTCTGTTAAAAAGCCTATCATAACAGTGGGTTGATTATGTATCATTAAAGTATACACAGTTATTTCAGTTATTTATGACCGTTAACAAATCACCCCAAAACTTCGTGGTTTAACATAACAACCGATTATTTGCTTGGAATACAAAATTTTTATAGCTCTACCAAGAAAAAAGAAAGTATTAATCTTCAAGATCTCTGTCACAACAACAAAAATTCATTTTAAATAGTATTAACTACATTTGCATAATTTCTAAATGTTGATGTCTAGTCTAGCTCTCTCTCTTAGGTCTCAGAACACTATTGTCTAACTACTTCCCAAACATCTTCATCCAGAAATCCCTTGGGAACTTCATCTCACCATGTCTAAAATGGAATTTCTCTTCCTTT